TGTCGGTTAACGGCCAGGGAAAGGGGAGGGGGGGAGGAGGGAGTAACGGGGCCGCCGATGGCCTTCGGTTGTCGAAGGGCCTCCAGCAACGGTTGGCGGCGGCGGGTGGGGTCCTCTGCAGGCCCTGCCGTGCCCACCAGGCCTGTGCGGGGCCTGGCGGGGGCCTACGGGCTCGTCTCCGCCTCACAGCCCTGGGGCCACCGTATCCCCTCTCGCCTCAGCCCCTGGGGGTGGCCGAGGGCTCCCCAGCAGTGCTAATAAAAGATACTTGAGGTGTGTGTGTGTATGTGTGTGTGTGTGTTGGCCCTGTGTCCCACCCCTGCTCCTTAGGCCGCAGAACAACCCCACTGACATGGCTACCAGGGTGTAAGAGGGGAGATGGCAGCTGAGGGAAGGTTCTGGAAGGTGCTGGTGGGCTCCCTGGTGGTGTGAAAGGCTCCTTTGAGAGCGGGGCATTGCCACAGTAGATGAAAGCACGCAGCCAGGCCCGTTGGGAGACATGCACACACACACTGGTGTTGCAAAGTACCAGGAAATGATAGGCAGGGAGATGGGGTTGGATGGGCCAGGGGGTGCTAAATGAAGGGGAAAGTGGGGTGAAATGGAGGGAACTGCTGGGTTCTTGAAGGCTCTCGGCTCTCGGCCTCCTCGCTTTCCGGAGCGATTCTGGGCTCTTTTCCTGCAGTTTCGGGGCTTTTAGCCTGGCGGCGGGCAGTTTGTTGGCTAACACCTTCCGACCCTGGCCGGCGTTCCGCGTACGGCTGCAGATATTGCTGAGCCGTGAGGATTAATGGCTGAAGCTCAGGCAGGTCACGCGTTTGACCTGAGGGGGTTTGCAGCCCGCACTGATGGGGACACGAATGGCCCCAGTGTCCTCCAAATCTGACCACCTAGGAATGGCCTCCTCTAGTAACCGTGCAGAGTACTCCAGGCTTTGGAGGATGCCAGGGCTGAGGGGATTCCTCCTCCCTTTGTACTTATGTCACCACCCAAACCGGAGTGAAGGCACAGCTGTACTGGTGTACTGGTGGCAGTGGGACACATCAAGGGGTGACCCTTCTTTTTTTCACAAGGTCAAGACAACCCTGAGAGGGAAAGCAGCAAGAGGGGGATCTGTAGCCGGCAAGGTGTAAATATAGCCAGGGAAAACAAATCTCCCGAAGGATTATTTTAATCAGAGAGAACCAGACGTTTTTAGAAACCTCACGGTCTGATTTTTTGAAGGGGGAAGGGTTGGCCCCGGCCCGGCAGGGCTTTCGGGGAGGGTTGCAAGCCCTTTGGAGCAGGGCAGTGTTTAGGGAGGCAAAGTTCATGGGCCCGCCACTCCTTCTGGTCAGGAATAACTCTGCCCGGAGTCTCCAGGGCTCCTGAACCGTGGTGTTTTACAAGTACCAGACAAACAAAAGCGAGTGACAGGGCCGGGGAGGGGACAAGGGAGACAAAGCCACTTGCTTCACTGGGTAATAAACCCCCGAGCAGCTGGACTTTGGATGAGCTGCTCCGGTGAGTGGAAGGTTTGCGGGCAAAAACACTTCCTTGTTTACCCGGGCGTGCTGGAAGCTGCCTCCCCCGGCAGAGAGGTCCAAGGAGACTCCTGAAGGGCAGGTCGCAGGAGCTGGATTAACCTACTGGTGAAACGTGCCCAGCCTCAGAACTCCTTGTTCATCCATGTTTTTGCAGGAAGGGGTGGTGTAGTGGGTGCCAGCTGGGTCTGGGACATAGTGACACGTCTTGTGGTGACGGCGAGCGTGTCAGCGAGCAGCGGGGAGGTGGCAGAGGAGGAGGGTTTGCATCCCTCCTCTATCCTGCTGCTCCTCTCCAGGCCATGCTGGAGAATGGCTCCAGGCTCACCTGTTCCTGGAGGGATTTTTCCTGGTGGAGAAGATGGCTGAGCTGGAAGGCAACGCAGGAGCTGAGGCCTCCTCACCACCCCTGGGGCTCTGCAGGGTCCTGGGGGCAGGAGCCCTGGCCCATTTTCACCCTGGTGCCCCCCATCTTGGCCGTTCTCACCCCACACAACGATGGCGCCTGGGGCTTCAGGGTACTTTGTGGGAGAGTTTTCATCCCTTTGGGGGATTTCATGGAAAGCATCCCACCTCCATGGCCTTCCTCCCTTTCCATCCTCAGCACAGTGCAGGTCCTAGGGCTGGCAGCACCGCACTGGGTGGAAATATGGGCTCAGGAACCCGGAGGCGAAGGGTGAAGGTGCAAAAACCATGCCTGATGGCACCACCAGGTTTTGTGGGGCTATTGTCACCTGCTGAAGCCACCACAGTGCCACTGGCTGGAGGCGGGGGGTGCTGCCCCTCCACCCCGTGGGACATGGCCATGGTGTTGTGTCCCCCTGCAGGGGCTGGCAGCAGCTCTGTCCCCATGTCTTCCACTCTCCTGTGCTGCTGGCAGTGGCGGAGGAGGCTAATGGTGCAATATCCTGCCTTTGTGTGTGCCAGGACCCACGTCCCCCCAGGCTGGGCGGGTGGGTGACGGAGGTGCTGCCCCTTCAGCTCCGCTCGCTCTGTGCCCTGGGGTTTGGAGCGGAAGGGCTGAGCCCGTCCCTGGCACGCTGCTGCTATTGTCTGTCACATACGTCTCACCGAGCAGGGCCCTGGGGGAGATAATTCTCCAGCAAAGGCCCCCTGCCCTCCCAAGATGACAATAACCTCTCCAGGGGCCCCGACCGCTTCCTCCGAGCTCCAGAGAACTGCGCGGCCCGGGAGGCACCTTCCCGCTGGTGGAGGTTTTGCACGAACAAAAACCTCCCGCCGCGGCCGCTTCCCCAGGCGGCCCCGGTGCTCGGCAGTGCCAGCACCCCGCTGCTTGCCGGGACCACGGCTCTCCCCATGGCTTAACCCGTACGGCACCGGGCTTCCGCTGAGCAGCACGGGCAGCTGCAGAGGGAAGGTGGCTGCTTTTGTCCCCAAAAAAGCTCAGGGGACGGCTTTGGGTTGGTTGCCTCCGGGCACCTCCTTGGGCTGGGGAAGGGGAGGATGCTCTTGGTGCTCAGGATGGGGGAGGGAAGGGAGAAGGACCCTCATCTTCTGTCGTCTCCTTGCCTGCACGGTGCAAACGTGGCTCTGCTTTGCCTCCTTGCTGGTGGCCAGCTGGCCACCACCCGGCAAGTGGTTCCCAGCACAGCATGGGGAGCTGGAGCTGTCTGAGTCTCTGCTGAGTCGAAGATGATCAGAGGGATGGAGCACCTCTCCTATGAAGACAGGCTGAGGGAGCTGGGATTGTTCAGCCTGGAGAAGAGAAGGCTCCGGGGAGACCTTATAGCGGCCTTTCAATACCTGAAGGGAACCTATAGAAGAGCTGGGGAGGGACTCTTTGCCAGGAGGTGTAATGATAGGACAAGGGGAAACGGTTTTAAATTGGAAGAAAAAAGATTCAGATTAGATCTCAGGAATAAATTTTTTACTATGAGGGTGGTGAGACACTGGAACAGGTTGCCCAGAGAAGTTGTGGATGCCCCATCCCTGGAAGTGTTCAAGGCCAGGCTGGATGTGGCCTTGAGCATCCTGCTCTAGTGGGAGGTGTCCCTGCCCATGGCAGGGG